CACAGGAGTTGGGGGAGGAGAGCAGGGCATTAATCCAGCCAAAGGGAGGGTATTGTTTATATCTCCACAAGAGAAGGCGAGAGAGAGACCAGGCATCAACCCGATGTGCCAAGACAGGACTGCAACATACCGGCATATATCAGGGAACCAATAGAGAGATCCACGGGGCCACACCCAATCTTGACTATGTTGACAACCCACCCTCCTCAGAAGAATGGACTTCAGAGCACAGCACTGGTGCTACAGCTTAGGGACAGGGGAGCGTCAGAGTATAGCACATGGGAGAAATGCAAAGGGATGGAGAGGGAGGAGAGGACAATCTGGTCCACCAAGCCCTGAGGATGATGTTCCTGCTCAGAGCAAATAATGCACAGGGCGGACTGTAGGGTGGGCCACACCACGGGACAGGGTGTCCCTCTCTGAACTATGGTGCTGCTGGGACAGCACTGGAGACACAATATGGGAATAGTGCAAGGTCTGGTACCATCACGCTGGGGCCAGGCACTGAGGGCCTGCAGCAGAGCAGCAGGGGGAGCAGACTGCGGAAATTCCCCAGGAATATTAAAATTAGACTGATTTTTTACAAGACAGTGTCTTTTGACAAGACAGTGTAGCACCCCATCAGACTTGACTGGAAAACACTCTTAAAACCCAAAAAACTGACCTTGAACTATTTATAGGCTTTTTCATTTTTTGTCAGTGGCTTTCTTTTGGTTATTTTAATTTTGTTCCTGCTTTCTGCTGTTGTTGTTATAGTTTTGTTGATCTTGACTTCCTTTGTGTTTTATTTGGCTTTGCCTGGTTTTTGCACTTATTAATGTATCTGCATGTTTATCTAGATAACATAGATGGGATAAATAATTCAGAGATGAAAAGAAGGGGACCAAAGGTGCCAGGGAGATATGGGAGAAGGGGAGGTGGAAGAAAGGAAATGGGGGGTGGGGGCAAACCCCTGGAAAAGAGAACAACAAGTAAACTAAAATCAATGGAAAGAAGATCATAGGATGCCTAGTGGGGCTCAATCAAGGGCAATGCAGCAGTGAGGAATTACTAAACCAAAATTAAGGCTGAACATGATGGTGGGAAAAGAGGGAAGTTAAAAGGAAAGAGAGGAAAGAACCAGGAGGAAAAGGACATTTATAGAGGCCAAAATACAGGTATGTACTTATGTAAACAAATATATAATGAGAGGGGAATAGACCTATGCACTCATATCTATATGTTAGGAATTAAGGTTGCAAATGGACATTGGGAGTAACAGGGAAGAGATGAGCTGGTCAGGGTGCAGTATAGCACCAATGAAACACACAACTTTCCTCGAGTTCTCTGGTGCTTCCTTCACCCCACTATCATGACCTCAATTCTACCTTACAAATCAGATTAGACCAGAGTATGCACACTGCTACAGATAAGAACCTGCATCACAGGGGATCCAAGATAGATAAACCCCTCAGGGCCAACAAGGACAGGAGAGAAACCAGGAGGATTAGGGGAGGGTGGTGGGAGAAAGGGGGAATTGATCACAAGAATCAAACTAGAACTCCCTCCCAGGGGGACGAATAACAGAGAAGCTTGTAGGGGTGGGACAACTAATTTTACGATTCACTTCTTGAAATGTTAAGGAATTGTTTGTACTTTCTGGCCAATAGGTGAAATAAGACAGCCTGATTTTAGAATTTTGAGTATCTAATTTCTCTCTGTCTTTCCTCATTATCATTATTAATTTATTTATTAAAATGGAAGTCATGAAAATTGACATGCATAATCATTCTAGACCATATTTGCTATATGGAGTTTGCCTTTAGATTATATAAGAGACTATATTAAGAATAATTAAAAATTATTCCATAAATTACAGATTTTTAACATTTCCAAACCCACAAACTATGTGTCCCCAAGTTACTTTTTACTTTTAAATAAAAATATCATTAAAAATACTAGCATCATAACTCTTTGGTTAAATAGTTTCATCTTCATTGGTGTAGCCCAAAATACTTTTTATACAATAAATGCTTTCTTCACTCTATTAGAAAACCACAAAATTAACAAAGTTTCTTTTTATTTTTTTTACAGATTATTAGCAATGACAATAACTTGTATAGTCCACCTCCTACATGTACTCCATTTATGATAAAATGGAATACATAAAGCAAGAGAAGTCTATAACATTTAATTTCACAATCGGCCACTATATTTTACAAAATTGTCTAGTTGGCAGGCTTCTTCAATTAATTGTGTGCTTTCGTTGAAAATAACCTTGACACCAAACTTTCCTCATCGCATTTTTCATCTCTGTATTTCTCAGAGTGTAGATTAAAGGATTGAACATGGGAGCAATGATGGTATAGAATAGTGCAAATATTTTATCTTCAGGGTAAGTGGTAGGAGGTCTAAGGTAAATAAATATTGCAGGAGCGAATAATAAGATCACCACAGTGATATGAGAGCCACAAGTAGACAGGGCTTTGCGCCTGCCCTCTGCTGAGTGATTTCTTAAGGTGAATAATATAATCACATAAGATCCAAACAAAAGAACAAAAATTGCTAAGACAACCATCCCTGAATTGACAAGCACAAGAACACCAGTAAAGTAAGTATCAGTGCAGGCAACCTTTAGTAAAGGGAAGATATCACAAAAATAATGATTGATTTCATTCGAACCACAAAAGGGTAATGAGATGGCCATAAGTAATTGTGGAAAGGAATGGACAGCCCCACCGGCCCAGGCAGCTAAGACATGAAGATGGCACCTTGTCCTGTTCATGATGATCATGTAGTGGAGAGGTTTGCAGATGGCAACATAGCGATCAAAGGCCATGGCAGTAAGAATGAAGATCTCAATACTGCCAAAGAAGTGCATGGTAAAGACCTGTAGCATGCAATTACAATAGGAGATGGATTTTGTTCCAAATAACAGATCAGTAATTAACTTGGGTGTGACACTAGAAGTATAGCAGATGTCCAGAGAGGCTAAGTGGCTGAGAAAATAGTACATTGGTTGGTAAAAAAGGGAGCTACTTAGAATGGAAATAAGGATGAGAAGATTTCCAAACAAGAGAGCAGGATAACAAAATAGGAATAGAACAAAGCAAAATATCTGTATGTTCTTGTCATATGAAAGTCCCAAAAGAATGAATTCTGAGATATTTCTCTGGATCTCCATATTTATCCGTTTGTTGTATGATATGAACAAATTATTATCTGAAAATAAAAGACATGAATTTGCATGAAAAATTAACATAATGACAGTAATAGCCAATGAATACATTTATTATCATGCAATGATATTAATGTAAATTATTCTTTATGAAATTAAACTATTTTTATTTCTTTTTAACATGTTTACGAGTTTACAAAACTATTAGGAAATAAATTTATAATGAAATTAAGTATGCATTTTTCTTTCTTCTGCAATCAACCCCCATTGAAATAGCAGTAAAATGAAATAAAAAAATGAAACAACATATAGACCTGGGAAAATATGGAGAAGTGTTTTAGTTAAACTTTATTCAATTTTAAGAGTAAACCTTAAAGTAAATGTTAAATTTCATCTTAATCATGAGGCAAACATTACTGTCCTCTAAGTATATTAGTTTGATGTCAGGTGCGTTCTAGTTGGCTCCTACCTTTATACAACAGTGAGATGCTGCACAGTCTCACAGTTCTGCTGTACTTGAGTCCATTATTGCAGCTCATGGATTAGTCCATCTCTTGGAGGGTCTTCATGTCCCATTGTTTCACTGGCTCTCCTTACTAGGCATGATGTCTTATTGCAGTAACTGGTCTCTTCTGACGACATGTCCCAAGTATGCAGAAGCGTTCTGCTCTTCTTATTTCTAAGGAACATTCCAGCTGTACTTTTCTAAGACAGAGCAGCCTGCTCTTTTTCAGTTTGAAAGGTACTAAGTGTTCTTCACCGAAAAAATCATTAGAAGAGTTAATTACTCATTGTGTTTTCCTTACTCATTGTCCAGTATTCATATGCATATAAGACAATTAAATCCTTAACAACCACTCTCCCTCTCACCAAACTACATTGCTTATTGGTCCAGTTGTGAGAATTGTTGTTTTCATCATGTGATTTGTAATTCATCAATGACTGTTGCCTTTGATCATGATCAGTCAGTTCTCCCAACTCTTCTTCATTGTCATTAAGCAAGGTTGTTCCATGTGAATACCACAATCTCCCTCGATTAATGCATTTGCCCCTCTTCTGTTACTGTGTTCTGGTTTAAATAGTTCATATTCTCACATTATTCCCTCTGTTTACATACTGAATAAGTAAGATGAAAGGTTACCACTCTAATGCACACCTTTCCTGATTTCAAATTATGCAGTAGTTCCTTGTTTTGTTTGAATGATTATCTCTTGATCTATGTATAGGTGTACAATGAGGAGATATGAGAGTTCTAGAACCTCTATTCTCAATGTTATCCGTAACTTGTTATGATCCACAAAATGAAATGCCATCACATAATCAATGACACACTGATCTTTGTTTTCAAGTAAGGTTCCCCTGACATCAGCAATGATATCCTTCATTCTACCTCATCTTCTTAACCCTACTTGATTTTCTGTAAGTGCCCTATATACAGACTACTGAAACAATTTTGCATTTATCATCAGCAGAATTATTTTAATATATGATACTAAGGATATCTCCCGATGCTTTCGCATTCCATTGGATCACTTTTCTTTGGGTTACACACAAATGTGATTCTCTTTCAATTGATTGGCTAGATAACTGTTTTCCAAATTTGTTGGCATGGCCAAGTGTTGCCTGCACATTTGCCTATTTAATTTAGTTAATACCAAAAACATTTTTTGCAGATTTTTAAATAGGTGTTTACCATATCTATACATTCAAAAATCTTTTATCCCAGCATGATTTGGATCCCCTTTACTGAATTATATGAGAATGAATGTTCAGAAAGTTCAAATATGCTTAAAACACCTGTTTAAATGGCTGAACTTGGGTATATCCAGAATGTAGTCTTCTTTGTCACGAGTATAAAAATAGCAGGTTGCCTTTGCTGTTGTTGGGTGTCTAGATTTGTAGTGATCCTAAGCCTAAGAGAACAACGCTTGCCCTGCTTGCAGTGTCCTCGTCACGTTGTTTCTGTTGTCACTGTGCCAGTTCTTCTCCTTGAACGTCTTCTGATTTTTCTCGGATGCTCTACTTCACCAAACCGTATCTATTTTTCCAGGAAGTGGTCTCTCCAGATAACAAGGCTAACGAATGTGACATGGACTCTCGCCATCCTTGGTTTGAAGAACATTCTGGCTATACTTCCTTTAAGCAAATGTGTTTCTTCTTCTGAAAGTAGCATGTTCAATATTCTTTTCTGACATCAGAATCCAAAGGCCTCAAGTCTTCCTCAGTGCTCCCCATCCCTTCTCCAGCTTACACATGCATACAAGGAGATTGAAAATACCAGGACTTGGGTCAGCCACACACTAGCTCTCAGAGTGACCAGTGTAGGTTTGTTTATGTGAAAAAATACACAACCAAACAAGATATTTCATTTAAAGATTGAAGTTGTGAAAGTAATAGCAAAATGATTCTCTTCTCTTATTTCTACCTCATAGGTTAGGGGGAAAGCTATAAAATATGCAAACATTCAAGTCTGTAAAGGTAAATGAAAGTACTTTTTTTAGAATTATGATAGCTTCTTAAAGAAATTGTTTTCATATTTTTTCTAGGCAGATATGTGTAGAAAATAAAAGACCCTTACAGAAGGGTCACAGGGAGGAGATGAGACAGTCAGATTGCAGAACAGCACTGATGATGAAATATGCAATTATCCTCTAGTGATTTAATGCTTCCTCCCCAGTACTATCATGATCAGAATTCTACCTTACAATTCTGGCTAGACCAGAGTATGTACAAGGGTACAGGTAAGAGCTGGAAGCACAGGGAATCCAGGACAGATAAACCCTTCAGGACTAATATTGAGAGTAGCCATATCAGGAGGGGAAGGGGAAGGTGTGGGGAGATAGGGGGAACCAATCACAATGATCTACCTGTAACCCCCTCCCAGGGGGATGGACAACAGAGAAGCAGGTGAAGGGAGACATTGGTCAGTGTAAGACATGAACAAATAATAATAATTTATAAATTATGAAGTGTTCATGAGGGAGGGAGAGTGGGGAAGGCAGGGGGAAAATGAGAATCTGATACCAAGGGCTCAAGTAGAAAGAAAATGTTTTGAAAATCATGATGGCAACAAATGTACAAACATGCTCGACAAATGGATGGATGTGGATTGTGATAAGAGTTGTACATGTTCCCAATAAAATAATTTAAAAAGAACAAAGAAAATTGTAACAAATGCAACCAAGGCAGTTATTTGTCAGGAAGGCTATTTGTTGCATGACTAAATGGATGAAAGACTCATATATGCCAGAAATCTTTTGATTAACCAGCGAACAATGACCTAAGGGAGAAGAGAATGCGGAATAGGAAGAATGGACTTCGCAGGGCTGTTTGCTTCTGCTGTAAAGCACACCCACCGAGTTACACAGTCTGCAGCACATATGCTCTCGAAAACGATATACTGACTTCTAGTTAGGTTATCTGGAAAGCATACCCTTCGGTGAGATATAAATTAAAATCTGTGCGATTGATAATCTTTGAATATATATGTACATAGCAAAGAGATGGCATGTGTGACATTTAAAAAATGAGTCATATATGAGCCATTTTTTACTATTATTCAAAACTTTAGTTACATCAAAGTCTCAATTTGATCCTATAGTAACTTCACTTTCAAGAAAAATACTTATCAGGCTGAAAATGTTCAGTGCTTACTATAGCTAAATAGATGCTAAGCTTTGGCTGAGTGTTATTGGGAGGCCTGGTTACACAGTCCTAACGCACTTGGTGACTAACAGAAAGGTCTCCAGCTCAAAACCTACCAGGCGTATGAGGGACAGAGAGGTGGCCATCTGCTTCCACAGACATTGGTAGTCTTGGAAACACAGTGAGGCAGGGTTCCCAATAAGGCACTGTGGGTTCACTATATCTCATAACTAACTCAGCAGCAATGGGGTTTAGTAGTTTCTAATCAACTGTTTGCTCCTTTCAGAACTGATGCCAATTCTTATCTTTTGAGAAGGTATAATTTTGATTTTCCAAATGTATATATTTAGCCAAACAAACATATTTTAAGATAATTATTATATTAATAGGCTGGTGAATAATTTAAAAGTAGAAATGCTTCATTAAGCTAAACTGTTCTTCCAGGAAGTAATAATAGATAAATGATAAGGATTTTTTGGTGGGGTGATTAAAATGTTCTAGAATTGACTGTGATGATGGTTGCGCATTTTGCAAATATACTAAAAATAATTGGACTGTATAATTTCAGAAGCATAATTATATTGCATAAGTTATATATATATATACATATACATATACATATATATATATATATATATATATATATATAAAAGCCATTACAATTAAAAAGAGAGATATTGGAACCGAGGGGTTGAGTAATAGCTCTGAATCAGAAAGCCAAGTCTGTGGATATCAAAATGAAACACAACTCACTGCCATCAATTCCACGTTGACCCCTGGGCCATACAGGGCAGAGTAGAACTGCTCATGCGGGGTGCTGAGACTGTGATTCTTTTGGGAGTTGCAAACCCTGTCTTTCTTCCATTCCCTGGGCCTCAGACACTAGACATTCTGATCCCCTACATCTGGTGCTCCACCCATGCTTAAGAGTTAAGTGCGATGTGGGTAAGGGGCATGGGTATGAAGGAATAAGGGACGAGAGACACTGTTTTGAATCTTCATCAGAAACAAAGGCTATGTAAAATAAGAGTCTTTCACATCACCCATGCATACCTGGACAATTCTCAAGTGATTTTAAAAATTGCATGTTACCTGCTTATTTTCTAGACAATCATAGGTGTTTACTTCAGAATAGTTTTTCAGACTCACGTTGAATGGGGACATGTTGCTATGATCATCACCCTTAATGAAAGTATTGGAGACAATCACAACATTCAGGGCAACCAGAGGCAGCACCAAATGAACAAGTAAGTGTTATCTCCTTAGTTCTCCTTTCCGTTCCTCTATTCCACTGGAACATCGGTGCATAATTCAGAAATATATTGAGGAATATATGAGATAAGATTTAATACCCCATTTTC